ACATACCATTTTTTCTTAAAAAACGAGAGCTACAAATTTTTTCTTCCCACAACAAATTTACAACAAAAAAGCTACAATTAATGCCGTTGTAACATTTTCAATATCTCAATCCTTTCGTCAATGGTGCGTGGTGTCAAGTTAGCACTACATACTAGATTTTGTTCGAGAAACTCAATTTTTTCCAGAAAAACGAAAGCTACAAATTTTTTCTTTCCACAACAAATTTTAAAGTTAAAAGCTACAATTAATGGCATAGTAACATTTTGGATATCTCAATTCCATCGACTAGGTGCATGGTGTCAAGTTAGCACTACATACCATTTTTTCTTAAAAAACGAGAGCTACAAATTTTTTCTTTCCACTACAAATTTACAACAAAAGCACTACAATTAATGCCGTAGTTAACTTTTCCAATTTCGAAAAGTGTAGTGCTAACTTGACACACGTAAATAATTCTCCGAAGTAGTTGTTAACTAAATATTTATTTTCTCAATTTTAGCTATTTACAACAACACGGTGTAAAAACTCCAAAAAAAATTTATAACGATTTAAGTAACCGAGTATATGTAGCTCGCATTTCAGAAAAATTAATTCTAACTGAAAATATTTGACCGTATTTTGAAAATAATGACTGCAATGAAAATATCCCTCTGAAAAATTTTTGGAAAAAATTTGGTCAAAGTGGTGAACAAAAATTTATTCAAAATTTTCTATTTTTGTTTTCAAACACTTTCCTTATAATCTAGTATTATATTTCTTCTGGAAAAAGTAGAAACATGTGATATTAAAATTATTGAAACCATCAACTGATGTAAATTTTTGTCTGTAAAATGAGATAATTTTTCAAACAGAGTGTAACTCTCTTTAAAAATATTTCCTGCAGTAAACTTTCTAAGCCTCTTCAGTTTGGTAGCCATAATGCTATATTTAATTTATCTCATCAGCTAAATTAAATTAAATTAAATTTTCAAACAGGTGGCAGCCTTAAAGAAATCTATTTTCGCCTGTAAGCCTTCTTAAATCTCTTTCTTTTGACCACATATTTCAATATTTTCTTTATCTTATCAATTTGCTTAAAAGCAATTTTCAAACAGGTGGCAACTCTAATTTTTTTCATTATATATTTTAAGCTAGACCTCTAGCAATACATCGCTGAAAATTACACTCAATTGCCTGCATTCGTTTTCGAGTGATGCACCTACAAACATACAGACAGACAGATAGATAAAAATTCTAATAGTTGTTGATTTAGCTTCTGTTGCTCTAATAAAGACCCCACAATTTAATTTTTCTTTAATATCTATAATGTACAGACATCGGCTTGTTACAATTTTATTATATGTGTAGATTGCAACTTTTTTATTAGTTTAGGCATTTTTTTAATTTTCTTTAATTTATTTTATTTTAGTTTATTTAGTTTAGGCATTTTTTTAATTTTCTTTAATTTATTTTATTTTATTTTATTTCATTTCATTTCATTTCTCTTCATTTCATTTCATTTTATTTTATTTTATTTTATTTTATTTTATTTTGTTTTATTTTAT